GTTTAGATTTGGAGCAAGGAAGATTAGTCAGGTCACATTACTTTCGGCGGAGCCAAGAGCAGTCCAGTTGCTTGCACCACTGAGCTTGGGAGTACCACGGCGCTGCGACAACTGTGCTATTTCGTTCACGTGGACGTGAGTAATTATGGTTCTGGAAAAGGAAAACAGACTTCTGATGGTTACTCGAAGTGACAGGACATGTCTGAAGTTTAACAGGATCAAAGCTACAGCTCGCAACCAATCGCTCCGACGTACCCGGAGTAAGAGATGTGTTGTTGAGAAGAAACTTGACCTGAAGGTGATGATGCTTAATATCAAGAAGTTTCAGTAAAATGTGGTGAACAGTGAATAAAAACTGAGCTGACGGAGTTGGAGAAATCAAACGGGAGTTTAATGTAAAGAGCGGGACGGAGACGGACGAGCTATTTGCGACCTTAAGCCTAGTGTCACATATAATCGGGGTACGCTGATACCCAGGATGCGTCAAGCTTCAGCTTCAACACGGTAATGGCTTTTGACGCCACTACCTCCTGAGGCAGTTTGTTCCATGCACTATTTACCCGGTGCGAAAAAGGAGACTCAGGCGTTTGAGTGACCATGGCTTGTCTAACTTCATGCTTTCCTCTTCTGTTGGGTACACCCCTCGGCTGAAGTAGGTGGGAGATCCCTGAGAGAAACCCGTCAAAATACGGAAGGTTTCAATCAGGTCCCCCCTCAGATTTCTCAGATTGAGTGAGAAAAGGGTCAGCTCCTGAAGGCGTTTGGCATATGTCGTTTGCCGAAGGTGCAAGAACATGCGCGTAGTACTCCCCTGCACTTTAATAGAACCCTTTGGTCTTTCTTCTTGAACTAATAGCATACAAAGACCCCCTTCGCAGGGCTCCAGTCAGGGGGGGTTGTCAAGAATGGTATTGCAGCTCGCAGACTTGTGAGAAAACTAGACCATTCATTGGGACTAAGAAGTTAATGAAAAGAGATAGAGGTGTCTAATAGAGAAAGGGGATAAGTAAGGGCTAAGCATAGAGCATCTAGAGAGTTTATGAGAAGAGAGAATAAAGATGAGAGGAAGACATAGATGGTGGAGGTTTGGCAATAAATGGATAGCGGTCCCGAGTCAGCTGTATCGAAACTGTTCCACTCAGTCCCCGCCCTCCTCGAACACCCTGGTCCATACCATGTCTAGTCTGCGTTTGAAGTCTGCTGTGGAGTCGGCAGCGATGACTTCATCCGGCAGTCTATTCTAATCATTCACAACTCTTGTTGCGAACGAGGAAGCTCTAAGCCGAGTTCTCGCTCTATCTTTAGCCAGTTTAGAACGTGCCCTCTCAGGTTTGTTGTTTCACTGAGCTTGAGTAGCGCTCCATCTGGTACATCCATAAACCCTCTCAGGATCTTGTACGCCTCGTTCAAGTCCCCGCGCCGCCTATGTCTGCTTAGTGAGAAAAGGTCTAACACTTCGAGACGCCCCTCGTAAGATAGATGTCTTAAACCCGCAATCCACTTGGTGAAGCGACGCTGCACTGATTCTAGCGTTTCACATCCTGGATCAGAAACGGGCTCCAAGCCTGGATGCAGTATTCGAAGTGCGGACACACGCCTTGTAAAGAGGGGGTAAGACTTCAGGTTTCCGAGAGCTTACCGCACGTCTTAGTTGGTGCAAGGCTCTGGATGCCCGGTTTGCTGCTTCTCGGCACTGGAGTCCAGGCTTAAAGTTCACACTAACAAGGACACCTAGGTATCTGGCTATGGTTACCGTGGGTATCTGTTTGGACTGGTCCGGGGTTACCAGTGTCCTGCCGCTTTTCATGCCTCCAGTTTTGACTAGCTATCAACACTTCAGGGTATTCAGAGGCAGGTCCCATTCAACTGACCACTCGTGTATTTTGTTAAGATCTCTCTGAACCGACTTTGTAGCGGACTCCCCGGATGTTTACATCGTCTGCAAACTTGTAGCAGCGGTTTTCTAGGTCGGTGCTGAGGTCGTTGATGTAGGGCAGAAAAAGCAGTGGACCTAGGACAGAGCTCTGTGGCACTCCACTAAGCACTCGCCCCTGGCTTGATGTGTTATTTTCTACCTTCACAATAAACCTCCGACCTGTCAAGCAGCTTTGTATTCACTCCAGTAGTCCTGGGGGCAGCCCGAAAGCCTTCAACTTAATAATAATAATAATAATGTATATTTCACGAAGCCCGTGAAGCATGCACAAAGCGTGATCATATGTTCAAAATAATCACATATACGTCAAAGGTGCAGATATATAGAAGGTCCAGTTGGAAGGTATACACAATGGAGACGGCGGGGGACCGGAATGAAAACGCAGTGCAAATGGAACACAAAGCGGATAAGGTCATATACGCAGATTTGGAGGATGGAGGAATACAATGAGTGAGCATGTCAACGGAAATTAAAGGAAGAGCGAACCTTGTATCGAGAGGATTCGAAGTGCGGAATTAATGGAAGGAAAACACAGATCGATGTCTGTGAGACAAAGAACGGGAGGAGATGGAGACTCGCGGATAGAAATGAATGGGAAAGAGGGGTACAGCGAGTTTATACAGTTCCCAAATACAGGTTTCTCTGTCAGCTACATAACAGCTTGCTTCTGAGAGCACATTCATTTGGGTTTCGGGGCTTCGATCGGCAATGGATTGATTTAAATTGTTTAGGCGTTGGTCGCTTTGGTGTGGGACTGACGCTAGACACCCAAACTTAAAACACCTTTTAGGTGAGGCAGAGGGCGTGATCCTCAAAATGGTCCGGAATGCAGACGCATATAGCCAAAACGGTAGAGACAGCCGCGCCCAACAACCATTGCCGGAGCAAAATTGTCCATTGTGGGTGTAGAACCCAAGCCTTCGGCAAGCTCAAACCAACCGATTCTGGAACAAGAAGGCGATACACAATAGTCTGGGATGATACCCAGCTGAGAAGAAGTGGGGGAACAAAACATGTCACGAATAATATGCACCGTGGAATAATGCGAAAAAGTACGTGTACCTACAAATATATATATACAGAAACGAAGCAATAATAGGTCACAGTACTTTCAAATGCATGCACCTACAGAGAATTCGTTCCAGAGATTCAGCTTTGAAACTGAATTGGTGTACTGATATGGAATTGGTTGAGAAAGTGGACACTGCTACCTGGTGAGCATGTGCCACAGAGTTTAGCCAATTGAGTCAAGCCGAATACAGAGCAATTGATGATAAAGTAAGCAATAATTGGTCACGATTCTTCTTGAAGTATGTACCAGCAGAGAGTTTGTTTGCAGATCTAGCTTTGAGGCTGGATCCGTGTACTGATATCAAGTTGTATGAGAGTGTGGACACTGCGACCGAGTTAGGATGTGCCACAAATGTTTTCCAAATTAGTCTGGTGGAAATGTGAGCAGATGCGTATAATGTAGGGTAGAATGGGTTATATTACTTGAGTATGTGTGTTACAATGGATCAAGTTTCACAGACCCCGCTCTGAAGCTGAATCAGCTTTCGGGTGGTCAGTAGTCAAAACCCATTTCATATACAGTATCAATTCTTCTGCTTCCGGACATTGTGGCAATTGTGTCGATCGTCAAGTGTATAGAAAGTTGTCTTTTGAACCTTTCATGTTTCACAGTCGTACGCACTTCCATTAGCAGTTTGTTNCCTGAGCACTCCCGGCTCGTACGACCCTAAACTTCGCTGCATTTAATGGGAGACCCCACTCTGCAGACCATGCTTGCACTGAATCTAGGTAAAACTGGAGGTCCACTACCTGGTGCGAGCCAAGTAGTTTAACGTCGTCTGCAAATATGATCACTTTTGATAGACGGGGGACTAGAGCATTGATGAAGACAGGAAACAACAATGGTCCAAGGACCGAGCCTTGTGGGACCCCGCTGTAAGCATGCCCGCAGTTCAACCAATCCCCCTCCACCCTTACGCGAAAGGTTCTCCCTCCTAGGTAGCTTTCAGTCTACCTGAATAGACTAGGGTGGATCCCTACTGATCCCTACTGTGGCCGGGGTGTCGTCCTTCTACCGGATACAGCCGAGTGCTTCTCTTGAAGTCGACTTAGACTGGACATACCTGTAGTGAGCCTTAGGGGAACTCTTAGCTTTCTTGGCTCGAGAAACCTCGAAAACTCTTTTGGTATCTGGGAGGATGCAGTCGAAGTTCTTACGCTCACGTGAGTACTGTAGGTGTCTTAGATAACCACTTGTGGTATAGAGTCTCTGACACTCGACCCTTTTTCTAATTAGGGCTTTTTTCATCCGACTGGACCACCAGGATGGGGTGGTCTTTGACCTAACGGGACACAGAGGTGCAAAACTATTGGTGAGAGTCAGCAGGTTATCCCTCATCAAGTCCCACAACTCTAAACCCCCATAGTTTGCCTCTGACCAGACCATGGTCTGTGCCGCAGCCTGGAGACATTCGGGCTTCATGCGCCCATAGCTTCGACGCAACTTGACTTGGGAGGGGAAGGAGCACAGTCGGTCACTTCTACCGAGCGGTGCACCTATAGCAGTGTTCCCGATGACTTTCCTGCTTTTGGTAAACACAAGGTCTAAGGTGCTAGGAGAGTTACCCAGTCGCCATTGGGTGGGATTGGTGACGTACTTGGTGAGCGCCAATTCGTGCTTCATCTCTAGTAGCTCATCTCCGAAGCTGCCCACTGGCGCATACTTCATCTCCCATTCCATCACGGGCACACTGAAATCCCCCATGACGAGAAACCTACTGGCCCGAGTTGTTGTGTGCCGGAGAAAATCTATCAGTAACTTATTTTCGTTTATGCCTGCGCTTGGGCTACAATAAACACACAGGACTGCTAATCTTACTCCTGTGAGCTTGAATCCGCACCCAGCAGTCTGAATGTTCTCGGTGCACAGGATGTAACAGTCAAAAAGATTGAAAATTCCTCTCAATTACCTTGCATTCCCTTACCTTTCTTCGTCATTCTATCGTGCATTCTTTCCGACAGTGGTTTTCACGTAGGTGAATTTTCTGTTCTGAACCTTCTATTTCACCTTTCTTACGGTGAAGCATATCTATTGGACGCACACTTCAAGTGTTTTGCTTTTACATATAAATGGGATTCAGTGCTTTTTTTGTTTTATTGCAACCAAAGTTTCGTTTGGACGCTCGTTGTTCAACTAACCGTTGCTTTCGGTTATACTGAACCCCTTTTGGCTGTAACGCTCAAGATTATTTTGCTTGATCTGTTGAAGCGTGCAGAATTTTCATATTGGTCCAGAATTATCTGAAAGGTAGTTCAAGTCACCCATTTTCTTATTTACTTTTCATTACCGCAGATATTTTCTGTGAATATTCGTGACATTTTGGCTGGACAGTGAATCAGGCTCACTATCAGAGGCATGACTGCCTTATGTATATGTTATTAATGCACAAATAGTACCGTAGATTATTTTTGAATCGACTTGGTTCTCGATAATTTGGGCTACGCGTTGCTCTGAGATTTGTTTATCGCTATCCAGAACGAGCGAAAGATCATTTCATTGAAAGCATACAGACGAGGTCTTTTTCATTTTGTTCGGACCAGGATAATCGCGTTTTGGTCGTTACACAGGGTATCCACTGTCGTCTGAGGAAAGTGGTCCGCTACAAGCAGTAGAGCATCACTCCTCAACCTATCCCCTGAAAGATCGCAGCGATAAGCCTGGAATCCTGGTGGACAGAATCCCGCGATACAAAATCAGACCTGAGCCAAATCTCCTTTATGGCGAGGCAGTGCGTTTGGTCATCTTCAGCTTGGGGCTCGGTCCACTTGTTCATTAGGCTGCAGGCGTTAGTGTAGTAGATACTGAGACCCAGCGCCTTTTTACCTCCTGTTGGTTTTGAGGGGCTGCACCCGAGAGTTCTCCCCGGGAGACCTCCAAGATTTTTACCTCGGTTCTAGTGGTGCAGTTTCCCAATTGGTCCACGCCATATTGTGATCTTCGTGCCCTAGAGATTCATCTCTCAGATCAGACCTGGAAGCAGGGGTTGTTTTCCTGCGCGGATTCTCGTGCCCACTGTAATGTTTGTAGTAATCGTAGTAATACGCACCGAATTCAGAATGCAACCCACGCAATAGGAATCATAGGATACGAATCAATAGTCAGCTATCACGGACTGGATCACAGAAGCACTGGACCGCAATGGCACGGGTTCGCAATGTCTCACGAGAACGAGAGGCGAGGAAAAGGCCACGCGAATGTTAGTAAGCGGTAGTTTGTTTACTGAAAGGAATGAAGGTGATTAAATAATATGTACAAAGGGAGATTATTGGCTATCTGGGCTTCCACCAATGGGATTGCAATACTGTTCGCATAATCTTGCTTCTATCTGCATTGTCTTGGATTGGCTGGCACCATCCACCAATGACGTGTATTCAGAAGCCATGCACGTGTAATTGACGGCAGCATTCAAACTTGATTGATCGCAAATGTTCTGAAACTGTAACGCGCCGCTTCAGGGTAGGGACCATCGTATAGATCTGGATCACCACACCCGCTCTCGGTACGTTGACGGACGGGAGTTTGGTGCTAAATTGCTGCATGCATCTAGGTAAAATCGTTGTGTTGCGGTCGCGGTGGTAGTCCGGCCCTATGATTACCTGTTCTTCGGTCAACTTCCACACGTTGGCGGAAGCTGCCAGCATCAAGTCCCGGTGCCTCGGGTTATGAAGCTCCACAAGGGTTGGCCTGGGTGGTAAGGCGCTAGGTAACCGTTGATCGCTCTGCCACTTTCCAAGGCGCAATACTCGCCTGATTTGCACCTCTGAGGAAATCTGAGTGAACCGGATTATGTTTCTAACTTGGTGTAGGAGAGCTTTCTTGCCGCTGCGCGTTTTTCGACAAACGGCTGTGGAATGCCCCTATTAACGACATTTCTGTTTCTCCCTAGGGCTGTGTTGGTATTGACCTCAAGCCCATGCAGGTAGTCCCTCAGGTTGGTGGTGAGTTCGGATAGATTCACAATGGCCTCCTCGTGAGCGTCCATGTGCGCATCAAGTACCTCTTTCCCTGGTGGCGAGTGACCACGGGTAGCCTAATTGATCCGCTGCCTGCTACCGGCTGCCCTCACGGTAACCCGTGCGGGTGCCTAATTGGCAATGCATGCCTTAGTGATAGACTTTACATCTCGGCCTAGAGGTGCCACTGACGTGGTTGGTTAGTCACCACGCTCAGGCTTCCGCACTAAAATCCATTCTCCGTCAGTAACTATTCCAGGCTAGTTTCCCTCCCCATGTATCAGAGTTCCTAGCTCAGGGTTACTTCTGTTCATCTGCCTACTCGGAGTCGAGTTACACGGAGTAGCTTGTGCTACCAGCTGCGACAATGAGTCCCGTTTCGGTGGCGTTTTCGCCCAGAAAAGTCCGATAGCGCTGGTGCAGTTTGGACAAACCCATTTCAGAAACTTGTGAACAGCATAGTGTTCAACTGCCTTGGACGTTAGTTTAGTGCACCACTGGTAAAACCAATCTTGGCACAGATCACAACGTTTGCCCTCAACAATCTCGAGAGAAAACCCTTTTCTTGCACGTGACTAGGGTGTAATAACTTGTTTGGCTTGTGTATCCACTTTAGGTCAGGTCACAGGACTCGCAGCTGATGCCAATTTGAGTCCATATTCATGCACCTTGAGCGTACAGTTTGCCTATGTGTGCTTCGAATTAGGAGGGACGATACTGAATAATCTTGGGCATTACCTAGAGGACCACTGGATCGCATCAGCATAGTAGGCCACGAGGTCAAACAAAAAAACAAAATGGGGAGTTACTCCCACAGCTACATCCACAAAACACGCGCTCCCCTGGATAAAGGTAAGTCCAAGGAGTTTCTTAGCAGTCTGTAACGATCTAATGAAGACAAGCTGCTTTCACGCTTTCTGTTCACGTACTTGCTATTTAGCGACCCACAGAGCAGTCCCTTTCCATCACTGTACTAGTGATTTTATTTGGAGATTTTCAGCTCAGCATTCATTCGCAAGACACTACCACTCAATAAGACACCTTGTATTTTGTCTAGCCTATTAACACTGGATCTGCCGAATAGATCAAGCAGCAGCGCGTAGCCAAAATCGGATCCAAAAACGTCAACAAATCGAACGGTCCAGCAAGTTTCAACGATATTGCTTTAATAAGCGATCAAATAAGCAAATAAAAACTGCACAAACTTAAAAGTGATCTCAAAACAACCTGAAAACAAGAGCCGGGTAGTACTGTGAGCATAATTCAATAAATATGAACGGAATAAAATGAGTATGGATAAGAATCGCACGCTCACCGTCACGCTGCACTCCCGCGAGCCGAATGTGAGTAGTCAGGTCGCGAGTAAACTAAATAGAGTGCGAATGAAGTAGAAAAATAAACAAAGTCAAATGGTAGGATCAATGTGTAAATATAAAAAGGAGGTGGAACGTCAAATGTCTATGTATGCATGAGGCGGCTGGAGTTAGGTGAATGAAACGTGAAATTCACGAAATGTTCAGTTCAGTTCAATTCAAGTCGGTGCCCAGGACGGTGACGGCAGCTTGCCAGGTTGTCTAGTTTCTTGCAATGGTGAGCTCCAAGGCTCTCCCGGTGCTGCGATAATAGGATGAAAAGGTTCATCTTTAGGGGTATACACGTAGAGGGGCGACTAGGAGAGGATCTCCAGTTAAAGCACCCCTCTCCGTGAGTGTTTGTGCAGTGGTGCGCTGCACACTGACCTGTCGGATGGGAGAGTTACACCAAGAAACTTGAAACCCGTAAGGATGAAATATTCTAAATTAAGGAGAACTATCGGAGGTTTGTTAGAGAGGTGAAAAGAGGAAGTGGAAGTGGAGCGGTTAGAGGGCCGTTTGAATGAATAGAAGAGGGGAGGGAGACGAGCTTCAGGCGCTTGACACGTTTACTCTCCTCTAATGAACATACTAACCCATAAGATATCCAAACAGTGTTGGAATTCCCCCACTGAGGTGGCTGACATGGGTTTCCTTGGCAGTTTGTTCCAGTCTTTCACGACTCTAACCGGAAAGTATGTGACCCTCAGTCGACAATTCACCCTATCCTTTGCCAGTTTTACTGCGTGCCCTCGGAGTGAGGTGGTTTCACTTAGCTTTAGAACCTTTGGGGAATCACCTCCTACATCTGTGATTCCTTTAAGGATCTTAAACGCCTCGATGAGGTCGCCTCGACGCCTTTGTCTCTCCAATGAGAAGAGGTGCCTCACCTCCAATCTCTTCGCATACGAGAGCTATCTTATTCCGCCAAACCACCTCGTGAAGCGCCTATGAACCCTTTCCAGCACTTTGGCAGCTCTGACCAAGAACGGGCTGGACGCCCAAACACAATATTCCCTCCTTGTTGATTGGGACAATCGTCGTCATTAGCCAATCCTCTGGCAGTCTATCCGTATCTGAGGAGGCGTTGAAAAGGTTGCTGTGGGGCACTCCTAGCCGTCCCGCTAGCGGTTTCAGTACAGCTGGGTGAATCCCGTCAGGGCCTGCAGCCTTTGTAGCTACTAGTCCTTCGAGAGTACGTTGGACATCATCGACACTTATGGGGTTATCACCCATGGCCGTCGTTGGCTGCTTTTTTGCCCATTGCTGTCCCAGTGCCCCTGGTCCTCCCGGTGTACCTGTTGAAAGAAGCAGAATAATGCCTCCGCTTTTCCGGGTGCTATCAGGACATAGGGAACCAATCCCCAAAAGTAGCGGTATCGGAACTAGTGGCCCGTCC